AGGGAGCTGAGACACTTGCTTCTGGCTGCTGTTCGCCTCTACCCCAGGTATGTGCTGCACGCTCATCCGAGGAGCATCTTAGCACTTAAAGGGCCAGTTTCCTCTCCCCCACCCCCTGGCTTTTTTTGCCAGTTTCTACAGTTTTCTGGATGCTTAAGTTCCGGATAGTGCAGATTCACTATAACTGTAAAATAAATCAACTGGATTAACAGAATACTAGAACTAAAAGGTCATCAAGTGCATTCCCAGCAGGATCAAGCACCATCTAGACCAGTGAGGGGCAACCTAGGTTAGTGAGTGGGCCGCATGAGTACCCCTCCTTTATCCCAGAGGGCTGAAAGATTATTGTAACCAAGACGGTTTCCTGGGATAGGGTAGTTTTCCTAAGCATGCTTTTGTACCTAGAATTTGTGGGGTGTGCTGATTGAACTGTAGGAGTGCTTTGAGATGCAAAGGAAGTGCATGGCTCCTACAGTCAGTGTTATCTGCCCTTGCTTTATGCATGTGTCATTTGAAATATGAGGAGGAAAAAACTACACAGACAAAAACCAGCAGAACCCGTGACGACAAGCAAAAGTTCTTGCAGCCCACACATAGAGCCTTAATAGGCCACATGTGGCCCATGAGCCTCAGGTTGACCACCACTTATCTAGCAGGAGTTTGAATCTGCTCCGGTGGTGAAAATTCCACAACTTCCCTAGGTAATTTATTCCAGTGTTTAACCACCCTGACAGGAAGATTTTCCTAATGTCCAACCTCCTTTGCTGCAATTTAAGCCCATTGCTTCTTGTCCTATCATCAGAAGTTAAGGAGAATAATTTTTCTCCCTTTTTCTTATAACACCCTTTTAGATACTTTAAAGCTGCTATCATGTCCTCCTCTCAGTCTTCTGTTTCCAAACTAAATAAGTCCAGTTCTTTCAGACTTCCCTCATAGTTCATGTTTTCTAGACCTTTAATCATTTTTGTTGCTCTTCTCTGGATCTTCTCCAATTTCTCCACAATTTGCCTGAAATGTGATGCCCAGAACTGGACACAATATTCCAACTGAGTCCTAATCAGTGCAGCGTAATCTTACTTTTTTTTTCTTTTTTTTTTAGTGTCACATTGTTAGTTCATATTTAGCTTGTGGTCCACTATGACCCTTAGATCCCTTTGAGCAGTACTCCTTCCTAGACAGTCACTTCCCATTCTGTATGTGTGAAACAGAATATTTCTCCCTAAGTGGAGTACTTTGCATTTGTTCTTATTGAGCTTCATTCTATTTACCTCAGTTCATTTCTCTAGTTTGTCCAGATAATTTTGAATTAAAATCTTATCCTCCAAATTATTTGCAACCCCATCTAGCTTGGTATCATCCACAAACTTTAAGCATGCTCTCTGTGCCATTATCTAAATCATTGATGAAGATATTGAACGGAACCAGTCCCAAAACTTGACCCTTGCGGAATGCCACTTATGTCCTTCCAGCATGACTGTGAACCATTAGTAACTACTCTCTGAGAGCAGTTATCCACCCACCTTCACTGTATTTCTCTAGCTTATTGATAAAAAACTTATGCAAGACTCTTTCAAATGCTTAAAATCAAGGTATATCACATCTTTGCTCGTTTTCCTATTAAAGAAAGCTATCAGGTTGGTTACTGTTACTTATCACACTTATCACCGTTACTTATGACGACTCAGTATGGCCATTCTTATGTTCTATGTACCCCATAGGGGTGCGCATGATGCAGGTTGAAAACCACTGTTCTACTTCACTCAGAGACAGCCAAAGAAAAAAATGAAAAGCCAAAGTCTATGAACAGGTTCATACTAGTGTAAGTATGTAGCTAATTCCAAAGTTTCATACTAGTGTAAGTCTGTGGAATTGTACTGATGTAAATAGGGAAGAGACCTGGGTGTGAGTAGTGCATGACTGAGCAAGATAAATATATTAAGCTAGAAAAAACACTGGTTACACAATATCCATTTGTAGAAGGCCCCAGTTTCTGTGAGGAAATATTCTAACTCTTTGAATATGTATCATTAGCAAAGTATTTAAACATACAGCAGCAAAGCAAGCAAATCCACTGAAAAGGGCAGCTGCTGCTTAGCAGAAGTGAGGGAGATGCTTTTAAGAATGCACCAAAGCACTAAGGTTTTTAATGTAGGAATACGGTCTTGCAATGGTTTCTTATAGTCCCAACATATTGCTCTGACATAATTGCAAACTTCATAGATTATTCTACTAAGGTGCTCAAGCAACAGTGGATAGAGTGTGATATCAATCCTCTCTCCTTTAATGCAGCTTTGCAAAGGGTGCATATGTTACATAGCACATTTTACTTGATTTTTCCCCACATCCCCATCTTTCTACATAATATACTGAGAGAGAGCTCCTGGAGGTAATCTGTATTGGTTGCATGGTTTAATAACATGGGATGGAGGGGCAGAGGGCACCCAATCATCTATGAACAGGACTTTTTAATCTACAAAAGCAGCAGGCCAGCTAAATGCTTCTTGAGGGCACTTTCTACACCTTAATTTTCCTGATTGCTTATAAGCCATTCTCTTGCCTTTCCAATTAGTGCAATTGCCAATTAGTGCAATTGCTGTATCTGAGGCAAGAGAGACATTACATGAAAGAAGGATCCTGGAATCCGTTGTAGCTAGGTGGAGTGCTCAAAGATTACAGAAAGCTCCTAATGGGCATCCAAACTGAACAACCCAGAACCTCTTGAAGTGCGCTCCTCATTAATATCGTTAATGCATCTTACCAATAGGAGTTCCCACACCGTAGCCTTTAGAATCAATGAGTCCTCCAATCTGGGTGAGGTTGCAGTTTCTCTGAGTCACGTATTCTATGCTGGTGGATTCCATTAGCAGGGCATAGTCTGTTGTGAGCACCCGCTGGATTCCCTCATCATTGTTCTTCACCAGTGCAGTCTGCTGCCTACTGCTCATGAACGCCCACATTTTTTCATATGTTGATATTTTGGATTTCTAAGGAAGGAAAGTGGATTCAGCAGAAATGTTAGTTCTCAGATTATGCTTGTGAAACATTCCTATGCTTAGCGTGAATGGTATCGATAATACCTCTTGAAATGGGGGGGAAAAGTAAGGGTTGGGGTAGGATTCTTTTTCAGTTTCTCCAGAAATGTTAAAACACGTTCCCCTCACATTTTCCACACTGTGCAGTTTCTTACTGCCTTCTACACTAGGGATGCCAGCATGTCAGCCTTCACATATAATCTCAGAGGAGCTTTGGGATCCTTTTGGAGGAGTGGTGCTATATAAATGTAAGATGTTACTATGATCCCACTGAATAAGTTAGCTGGGCTGAATGTAACTGATCGCTGCATTGTGAAACCGTGCCTAATGAAGAGGAAACAGTAATACCATTCACTGTTGCAAAAGTGGATAATTGGGGTACTGGCTCTTCACATGGAACCTGAAGTCTATAAATTGGGCACTTCACAGTAAAGCCCTAAACTGCATGAGAAGGAAGTGAGATCTTAAAAGCCAAGGTGCCCTGATACACTTGTGTTTCTGCCTCCCACCACAGCTAACATAACAGGCCTAATCCTGCTCTCCCTGATTCCTGTGGGCATTTTGTCATTGACTTCAAAGGGAGCAGGCTTGGGCCTTAATGTGCTGATATCTACGCTTCAATTCTGCCCTGTAATGTGATGCTATCTAAACAACGAAGCTGAGGAATAGACTGTGCCTGGCCCCAGCAGCGGGACTTGAGTAGGGTGAGGTGGAAAGGAACCACATAAGGAACATCCTTGATGCCCTTCACCTAAGAGCCAGGCACAGTGCCAGGGAGCTAAAGGACTGTTTCCTCCTTAACTCCATTTACATGGGACAAGGCAAAGGGAGGAGTTGCTCACAGCACAAGGCAGCTTTGCAATCCTTGAGGATGGTGCTGAGTGCATGCTCCCTTTTTCACCTCAGGTGCTACATGAGGTGTTATGTCTTTTTCTGTGTAGTTTTTCCTGGAGCTGTCCATGGGCGCTGCCCCTGTGCTCAGTGTACACCTTTCTTGTAGCTGCAATCTACCATGAAGTGCTTGCACTGTATTAACATTCTTCCTGATTTCTTTTTTGTACTCAGGCTAGATTAAACATACACTTATTTTTAATTACAAATTGAGATTTGGTCTACAGGTGGGAGCACGCATACATTGTTTGTTCCTATAAGCTGTATTTTGCCTTAACACTTCATAGCTTTCCACCCATTTTACAAAAATGAAAAACGACTGTGGCTGTACAGCCCAGTTATACACCTGTACCTGGATAGAAAAGTTGTTGCACTCGCTGCTGCTGCTGCTAAAATCAGTTTATTAATAGCATGATTTAGCAAAAAATCAATATACCACAATTTCGGTACCTATGCGCGCTCTCCCCTTAATTCTCCAGAGCATTCCCTTGTACTTTAGTAAAACACTTCATGCATAGCCACTGGTGTTGTGAATGTTTTCATTTATTGGACATTTTTTTCCTATTTTCATTCAGCTGGATAAACAGGCTGTATTGCATGGTTTGGCTAAGGCAACCAGTGATGAAAGCAGTAGTCTCTTCTCCATTTACAGAACAAGTTTTTTTTTTTTCCTGTTGTTCTTGTTGTTCAAATGTCAAACACTTCCAACTTCCTAAGTACCACTTTCCCTCTTGTCACATAAATGCAAATGCTTTTGGAAAAGGACTCATTCTCTTTTAGCCTGGTGCCTTTTCTGTTACTTTTACTCTCAGAAAGGATCCAAGTGAAATACACATGCAGTAATGCATCTGGAACAAGAAACGGAATCCCTGCAGTAAGAGCCCTTGTTTTAAACTTCTGTTTTTACAATCACCAAGAAGTACCTCCTTTCAGAGTTTTTAGGATTAGTGAGCTATCTGTAGAATGGGCTGCTGTGGGTTCAAGAGGACCTGGATTGTTTTCCTTGTTTCTGCCTGGCACTGGACAATTGTGTGACTTTGGGTAAGTCATTTCCCTGTTTGATGCCTCTGTGTTTCCTTCCCATCCTTCACATATTTAGATGTCACAGGCTCTTAGACGCTTTGTCTCTACTTCCATTTGTGCACTTAGCATAATGGAGCCCCAAGCTTGGTTGAGGCATGTAGGTGCAATGGCAAGAGATGTAAAAAATAATCTAGTTATCTACCCTGTTTGTTGTGTGCTAGTAAATATTGTATTGACTTCCCAAACTAGTAGTAGTTAGGCTTCTGGTCAGTGTGGTTTTGGAAGGCTGGGGGAATGGAAAGGAAAAATACATGTATGGGTATATAGTGTTGCTGGTAGCCAGGTCTGTGGACATGGGCACATCTACCTCAGGACTTGGGCTACACAAAAAATGATTATTGTATTGTTTTTTTGTACGAGTGCTGGGTAACAACATGCTCCTAGTAAACTAAGCTGACTATTGAAGCACATATTAAGAGCTGCTCCATCTGTAATTTCGGGGCACACAGATTGTCTTCTTCTCTAAACTCTTCCCTTCTCAATCCATAGTCCTCCCTCAAGCTTGTCTACAGTATGAAGACCATATAATCTCATTGCTTTCATTTGAATATTCTTGATGTGACACTGTTATGACCACGTCACCGTTCCGGATAACAGAACCTGAGTTTCCATTCCATAGTCTGTCTTCCAGCTCCCTACTGGTTGCCCTCTCTTGAGCAGAGACCTATGTCTCTTTCCTTTCTGACCAGGGAACGTGCTAGTTGTACTGTTCCTTGCCTTCACTGTATTATTCTCAGCAGAGAGGCTGTCCAAGCACACCTGCTTGCTCTCTCTGCATAAGTACTTAAATTGCAATTGCTGTAGTTAAAAGCACCGCTCAGTTCTTTCTATGCAAACTTATTTTTTTTAAAGTAAAAAGTACTACTGGGGAGGAAAAAAAAAGAACCTACATAACTGCTAATAAGTTTACCAGGTCTTTCAAATTCACACCCAAGGGATTGGCTTATGGTTAAAAGTTTATCTTGGCTTTAGCTCGTCACCATGCTCTGCTGCCAGCAAATGCTTGTGAAACCCACTGACATTAAGGACCAGAGACTTTTGTGGTGGATCTAAAAGTTCCAGTCCTGCTGATGAACCATGTGAATGTTGATGTGTTGCCACATGATGGAACTTTGAATTTTTTCACTTAACTTTTTTAAAACCCTCCAGTCACAGCTGCACATACATCATCTAACTTCATTCCCAGTCTTTTGTCATATGCACTGCACCTCGCATGTGCTCAGAGGTGGAAATGAAAGAACCCTAGAAACATTTATCATGAAAACTTAGGTGCCAAAGAGGCAATAGCCACAGATTTGTGGATTGCAGCATGTGATGCTAGCCAAGTCATTTAAACCAACCTCTCCCAGCTGCTCACTAATTCTGTATCCCTCTTTTCTGGGACATTGGCTTGGAAATCTAGGGTAATCTGATTTGTAAAAATGTTGAGTCCCCACAGCTGCAACTGAAGTCAGCAGGAGCTGCGCTTGAATATAGAATATGGGTAACCTTTATGCTGGCTTTTCCTTACTTTTGAGTGTTTGACTTCTCACCCATAATATTTTATTATTTTTAGTGGGTGATTCTTTGTAAAGCATCAGAGAGGTACATCGTACTTTATAGTCATAAGAAATAAATCCATGTCCTCAGGGTACTTCCAGTCTAAATTTTATACATACAAAGATACGTACTATTTATAACCTATTGTGTGTTAATTTGGGGCAAATCATGTTTTCTCTCTCTCTACCTCTGTCTCCCTTCACATCCTTTATCTCTGGTCTAGGAAGGGTCTTGCTTTGTTTTTATATCCCACCTAGCACAGTGGATCATTGATCTCTTTATGACATCTAAGAGATACTTTATTAGTTGTATTAGCTGTGTAGCAGTGATATAAATGTGAAATTCCATTTTTCATGCACTTTTCATCACATCACCTAATTCATCTCCACTCTCCACAGAAATTACTTCTAGCATTCTTCCATTTGAGTATCCATATATAACTTGAAGACCGTTATAAGCATGGGTTCATTTTGTAACACATCGATAACAAATTACCTGATTTGAAAACTCAGATGTTTAAATGCTTAAAAAAAAAGACCCATCTTTATTTGTGCCTGTAAAATTCCACCCTTTTATTAGTGTCATAAAAAGCCAGACCAAAAGTGAAAGCTGCTTTGGAAAACATGTTCTGATGTTCACAATGCCCAGAGTCTGCAGTTATTTCCTCTGTTGCAGCAGGAGCCATAAATGCAGAGGCATTCTTTGTGCAGATCCATTGTGGTGACCTTTCCTGGCCAATGAGGGGACACTGGGCTAAGGAACTTAACTGGGGTCTTTCAGGTAGTAGTACAGTACAGTATTTCTTTTCTACACCACAAGCCTAATAGATGTACCTTATTAAAATAGGTGATACTGTAGTTAATTTGTGACAGTTCCTAGGGTTCTCAAATTATTTTTTCCAGCATATGTTAATGAAGATTTCAACTTATTATTACAAAATCTGGCTAAATAATCAAGCTTTGAAAGAGCATCAAATTCATTCTCTTATTCAAACACGCAGACACTTCTGGAAATGGGGGAGGAGGGAGGGAAGTAAGAGGAATTTTCCGTTAACTGCTATAAACAGGGTGTCTGTAAGATGTAGCAAACGACTGCAATATCCAATTACTAGTTTTCAGACTTTTCCAAATATATGAACTGAGATCCATTACTTTCTTTTATTTAAAGATATTAACTAAAACCATAAGACTGCATTGGGATTTGAGACATATGGGTTAAATTCCCAGATCAGCCACAGACCTTTTTAAAATAACAAAACATGTTAGTCTTTAAGGTGCTGCAAGACTATTTGTTGTTTTTTAAAGTTTTTTCCAGTTACAGACTAACTTGGCTACCCCTCTGAAGCTTTTTTAAAATACTCACTTAAGATGTCAAACTGACACTAGAAACTGAAGCTGTTCCTTCACAGAAACTCTGACACAGGTAGCAGAAGCTATTTTCCCCACATGTTGCTTCAGTGTGACTCATTCTCTTTGGAGGGACTGCTTCCTACAGGTTACTTAAAAGATGCTCAAATGCCATACTGAGAAGCATGATATTAATAACTTACTAGGTATATTCAATCCTTGGATTTCCTGCTGTGTGTGCCAACAAAGATACTAATTAGAGCTAATTGCCATGGGATGTTTTTGTACATTTCCATATTTATAACTTCTTGGTATATGTGTTGACATTTTATGAGATCAACTCATTGTAAATGTAATTAAATTATCAAAGGTAATCTAGCTATCCACGGAAACTCTCAATTATATTACAGTTTAGATCTATATTTTTTTATGTATTTTTTAAAAAACAAATGGACTTTAACTTTCATTGACAGTTGTATTTTTCTAGTAGCTACTTGAGCTATTTACCTGTTATAAAGTTTGGGCCAAACAGCCCCCTTTTGAAGACTGAAGAATAACTAGTGCTAGTGGGCCCTAAATGGGGGGGAAACCCCACTGAGATTCTCCCTGTAGAGTTTCCACAAAATTCTTTTAGCTTGGGCATGGGGTTGCCTCCCTTACCTGACTGAATAGATCTTGGGGAATCCAGCAGAGATGCGGGGCCATTCCAAAAGAGAATTGAATAGATCTTGGGGAATCCAGCAGAGGTGAGGGGCCATTCCAAAAGAGACGTTGTGCCTGTACATTGTTTCAGAGTCCTTTAGCCCCCTACTGTACTGGACCTATTCTAGCAGGGATTTTTGCAGATTGTAGCTGCCCAGCCCCCTCCATTCTTAGGGAGCAGTGGGTGCAATGGCCTAGAGGATCCTTCAGAAAAGGAATTAGTGTCTTGGGGAATCCAGCAGAGGTGAGGGGCCATTCCAAAAGAGACGTTGTGCCTGTACATTGTTTCAGAGTCCTTTAGCCCCCTACTGTACTGGACCTATTCTAGCAGGGATTTTTGCAGATTGTAGCTGCCCAGCCCCCTCCATTCTTAGGGAGCAGTGGGTGCAATGGCCTAGAGGATCCTTCAGAAAAGGAATTAGTGTCCGGCTGTATATTCAAGTTAAGATGCATATAATACAACCTTCCCCATCACCTGTGCAGATTCCTGGAGGACCCTGTGTGGATGGTGGAAATGTTATAACTGCTAAATTTTACTAAATTACTGTTTTCACCGTTCCTCAGTCTGTTCCCTGTTTCTGAATCTATTAGTGAAAAGCTGCAATTCTCACAATGCAAAAGCTGCCTGACTCCATCTTACCTTGAAGAAGGTCATAGTTGATCCGTCTCTAACAGCTCCGTATTCTATCTTGGTTTGCTTTGCCAAATCATCTGCTGAATCAATGGGGGATTCCATTCTTTCAACTGTTAGGAAGGCAGCCAAGTTGGCTGTGTAGGATGAAATTATGATTAAGGTGAAAAACCACCATATTCCTCCAACTATTCGGGTAGAGAGAGCTTTGGGCATCAGCTCTGATCCTGTTATAATATCATCAAAATAATACAATTAAAACATGTTGAAAGAAGTCTCTTTTGCTGACAGTAGATTTTAGGAGTATAATACATTTATGATCTACAGAATAATAAAAGAAATGTACACAATCTCACATATGCATAGCTAATGTTTATAATGGTAAAATACTTTGAAAGGGATGTATGTCATGATACCTAATAAACACACGATTATCCATGGATCTGAACATCAGTTTGTCCTTGTGCTAATGTCACTTTTGGAGTTAACCTTTTAGACTCCTACCAAGCCATACTAGCCATGTAGTTGTATCTTAACTGCTTGATACAAGTATTGTAATGAGTCTTTAAGCCTTAAACCTTCAGAGTAACAATACAGTAGACCCTCAGAGTTTTGAACACCTTGGGAATGAAGGTTTTTCCTAAATCTGGAATGTTTGTAGCTTGGAACAAAATGCTATTGTTCTTCTTTCCAAAAAATGACGACTGAACATTAACTTTTAATACAGGTTTGTAACTTCACTATGTAAACAAAAATAAAGGGAGAACAGAATTTTTTTCTTTTTTTTTTTTTTAGTAAATTGCATTTAATACAGCACTGTACTGTATTTGCTTTTTAAAAAAATCTTTGCTGCTGCCTGATTGCACACTTCCAGCTCCAAATGAACAGTAGGCTCATAACTCAGAAATTCTACTGTATCCTATTTGTCATGTAGAGAAAATGCTTAAAAAGAAGGATTTAGTCCATGTCCCTTATCTATACATCAAGGCTATGTCTACAGTGCATTTTTTTTCCAGAAAAAGATACGCAAACTGCATTTTGCATACCTTTTTCTGCTTGTTTTTTCAAAAGAAGCTTTTCTGACATTTTGGCCATCTACATGGGGCCAAATTGGGAAAAATCTCCTCTTTCAGAAGATCCTTATTCCTCATAAAATGAGGAATACAGAGATGCCGAAAGAATGCGCCCGCTTTTTAGAAACTGTTCTGAAAAAGCGGATGCATTCTCTGGATGCAGCAGAGTTTCCATGGCAACCCCAAAAAACTCTGCAGTCTAGACATAGCCCAAGGTATGTAGGGTCCTGCATCTCTCTCTCTCTCTCTCTCTCTCTCTCAAACACTATAACTACAGTCCGTAGTGTTCCAATACAGTCAGTGGGGCTTACATGAATAAGGACTGCTGGGTCAAGACCTAAAATATGTCCTGTTATAAGCCTATACTTTAAAACAAAGTTATGAAAGGTAAAACAACTCTGCAGTCCCTTTTGGATTTGTACATGATGGTGAAATGTTATGAGTAATAAATGAATCCCAGTTTAAAGGACAGAATGATAAACTGAAGTGACATTAGTATATCCTACTTCACATCCCACATTGTGAGAGTTGGATAGTAAATGGATAATTTGGATATTTCATTTTACTTTATGAGGGCACGTAATTGACTGATGAGGGTTGAATTTTATTCCAGTTGTGAAGCAAAGTACCTCTAAACACTGAGCCAAATTCTGCCCTGGATGACCTAGCCTGCAAACTTGCTGACTTCAGTGGATCACTTGAGTGTAAGGCCCCGATTCAGACAAGAACTTGATCATGTGCTAATATTCCACTGACTTCATTTTACCTTCCAAGGTAAGCACTGTGCATAAGTGCTTTGTTGAAATAAGGATGGACTTAAGCAAATACTTAAGTGATGGATGAACTGGAGTCTGTGTGTGTACAAATTTGATTTAACTAATAGTCATTATTATTAGAGAGAGGTCCCCAAGTGTTATGTCTTCTGAGCTACTTAATGATTCATGTAGGAGCTTCAGACATTTCACAGAAGGCATGTATGGCCTTGGAAGATTTTAGCATAAAACTGTGTACAATTTGAGCAAAAATTGCAAGGATAATAATCTTCTAAGCCTCAGGCAAACAGATTTAATTTAGCTTTTTATAAATATGTGCACATCTCTCTTTAAAGGTCAGAGCTAAGCATAGCCAAGGGCTCTGAGTACATTGATGGTTACTACCAAATTACGAGTGGTAACAACAAAGCATACTTCCTGTGGTGTGTAGCCTTTGTGTTGTAGTGATTTTAAACTAGGCCAACAATCTAAAAGTAGAGGTTCTTATTTAATGTATCATTTTAAGTGCTGCAGATTAATCCAGCTTTAATTGTGCTTTTCTTGGTGCTTTATCAGACTAGATATTTTAAAACTCAGTGAAACATGGAAGGTTTTTTTTTTTTACTCCTATGGATGCATTTATTTTTGAACTGTAGTTGACCTAGCAAATGTAAGAGCAGGCTGCTACGTATGCTGATTCAGTTCCTCGTGGAGATGTCATTTTCTAAAAGCCTAGATAATTACAGGAATATAAATGAAGTAGTTAGACAGAGATACAATACCTAGTTTTAATATATAGCAATAGGTAGTACATCTTTATAGTTAGAGATACATGATAATAGATGGAAGTGGAGAAGCTCTTGGTTACTGTAGTTTTTTGGCAAAATTATAATATTCCAGTGGTTTTCTACAGTGGCAAATCAGTTGTACAGCAGAAACAGAAACTCTTTAAATATAAGCAAACTAAGGACAGTACATTTTAATCTTCTACTGAAGATGTCTCTCCACCTGGGGGAAGATTGAGGCTGCCATGATAGAGCTTCCTGAGTTCAATTTAGTGGGTCTAGTAAAGACCTGCTAAATCAAACTCAGAAGGTGCCCCCATTAGCAGCCAGTACTCCTCTGGTGAGGTGTAAGGGAACCTGATGGGAGCATTGGCTCCCATCAGCCTCCTGGGTCTAGTAAAGACCTGCTAAATCAAACTCAGAAGGTGCCCCCATTAGCAGCCAGTACTCCTCTGGTGAGGTGTAAAGGAACCTGATGGGCGCATTGGCCCCCATCAGCCTCCCACTGTGGGAATGGTGGGGAAACTCAAATTAAGGTACTTGGACTCCAGCTATATAACTAGTGTAGCTGGAGTTGTGTATCTTATTTTGACATTCCCCTTCAGTGTAGACCTGCCTGAGTGTTGTAAACAAGGGGATTGATCTTGCAAGATGACAAACACTTTCCCCTCTTACAAAAGTCACTAGGAGTTGATTGATCTTGCAAGATGACAAACACTTTCCCCTCTTACTCAACTCCTAGTGACTTTTGTATGGAGTTCAGTGTCTTGCAGGATCAGGCCTGTGATTATTTCAGTATTAACCATCCCTTGGAAACCAATTCAGCAAAGTACTTAAGCACATGCTTTAGTCCCATTGATGTAATCTTGTGAGTTAAGTTCTATCTTTAAAGATAAGACTGTGCTTTTGCAGTTTGTTGAATTGGACCTTAGCAGGTAACCTGGTTTTTTAAAAGCAATGGTTTCCCATACATTTTTTAATTCATCTGTTGACTAAAATTAGAAGTATGCCATGTCTGGATACCTTTAAAGACTAGAGGAAATATCTGGGTTGAAAAGTTCAAGGGAATGGGAAAACAACATCTAAGTAAAATGTTACTAGCAAGATTCATGGTCAGAGACAATACTTGCTGAAGTCTCTCTAGTGCCTTTTTATGGCAGACATGACAGCCAATCCTGATCCAGACTTTGCTCACGCTCTGTAGAAAAGAGAAAGTCTGATCATCACATTTTAAAATTGAATTAACAAGTGGCTTCCAATCAAGCATAACAAGCAGCTTCTGTTAACAAGAAAGAGCATAACAATAGATGCAGAGGTTAACAACCATTCATCTCTTGTTCAAACTCTACACGTTACTGATGGTGCACTTACAATCACACGTACCACAAGTTTGTACATGGAAACATTTGATTTGCCTTACAAATGTTTTTGTAAAGCTTCTTTAAAGACAAGCAGAGTCTGGTTGGGGCTGACTGTCATGTACCCAAGGTAGTGGTAACTAGCAGACACTACATCCCACAGTTTGCTGTGGATGATGGTAAACTCCAAAAAGGCAGGATATTAAAAACACAAAATCTTGGGGGCACTCACACACAAAGCAGTCACAATTATATACACACACCTGCCTGATACTGTAAAACCTTAGTCTGTGCTTTACAGATACATTGGGGGATAAACAAACATAATCTTCTTCAAAATAACTTTGGTGAGGATATGTGTGTCCTGTGAATATATAGATAAAACTGTGTGCATGTATTATCCTAGTTACAGTGTGAAATTTCTTCACTACTCTAAGAAACATTATTATTATTATTTTATTTTTATTTTACAAAATCCAAATTAGTATTCATGCCTACAAAAAAATTGTTCCCGAATGAATGTAAGTATTCGTTACTGAAATATTTGGAAATTGCTGTAATTTCATCTATGTGTTGCCTATTTTTTGCCATAAAATGTTTTCAGAGATATTGGTACAATAGCCCTTTAAAAGGAAGTCTCAGAATACACACACCTTACGCATTTAGCACATGTGTTTGCTTGTTTAAATATTTCTCATATTGAGTACACTTTGTTGCCTTTCATTATCAAGCGAGTATTGTGTGCATCTTCCAAAATTCAGCAGCAACTGGGTCTTGACTTGGTTAAATTTTTAAGGTTGGATACATTTACAAGAGGATCGAACTCAAACCTGCAGAAAAGCCAATAAAATTGGTTTTGTTTTGGATCTGAATAAAAGTTTGACAATTGCCAACAAAACTTAACAATCTTATTACAGAAATGCCTTTTGACTGGGTGTTAAAGTCTTTATTCTAGAATTGCTCTGGCTATAACTGTCTATATTGGGATGAAGCCTAAATTAATAGAGATTTTTCTTGTTTTTGGAGTAGGAATTTTAGATTTATCCTCAGTATAAATTCCTTTATAGTCATCTTGCTATTATTTTATGTTTTGTTCACAGAAGCTCCCATTTGGCCAGTCCACTTTATACTTCTCTGTATGTTTTCCTTTCTAATTTCTGCTGTTACCTGCTTAAATCCAAAATAAGGTCTAAGTTTCATTTCCCTTCCCTCCCTATCCCAGCTTCACTGATGTGTAATCTGCTTTTGTAATTTTTGATATCAGGTTTTACAATATGTGTGTTAGCTACAGATGGTGGAGTTTACCAGCACAGAAGCCCTTGAGCAGACTGTGGGATGTGTGCAATAATGATGTGTGACCGGTGTACCTTGCTGCATGAGAGCTCCAACTCCAAACCAGAAACTATTTAGTAAAGTAAAATTGTTTTCCACCACATCTGAGTCAGGGTTGCACGGGTGGGGGTTATACCACTCATAGGGTGTAAACCTGTGGTAGTTAACAGAAACAGTCTGTAAACATCAGATAAAATTCATACTGAGCCAGCAAACCTGCTAAGAATGCAGAAAATGAAAAGATTAATGAAGAAAATAAGATAACCAAAACTCAAAGATATATCCATAAGTGTCCAGCATGCTATGCAAGCTGCAGAGCAGCACCATAGTGCAGTGAGTGGCTGTCAGAGATCGAGTTTCAGTGTAAACCCTACTTCATTAATCCTAATGCTCTTGGACTGTGATCTTCAACTGCTGTTTCTTTCAAGTGTCTCAGTGATTCCCCAAGCCACCTGATTGATGCTCTGCAGAGAAAGGGATGCTCTGATTCCATGTGGCTGCCCCTTGGTGAAAGCATGAGAGAATAAAGACACTCTAAGGCTTTGCCTAGACTACATCCCTCTTTCGAAAGAGGGATGTAAATTAGACATATCAAAATTGCAAATGAAGCCGGGATTTGAATTTCCCGCACTTCATTTGCATAATTGCATGACAGCATTTTTTCGAAAAACACTATTTTGAAAGTGAAATCGCGGTCTAGACACGGTTCTTTCAAAAAGAAAAGCCTGTTTCGTAAGATCCTATAAACCTCATTTTTACAAAAACAAGGTTTACGGGATCTTATGGAAAAAGGCTTTTCTTTTTGAAAGAACCGTGTCTAGACCGCGATTTCACTTTCAAAATAGTGTTTTTCGAAAAAATGCTGTCATGCAATTATGCAAATGAAGTGCGGGAAATTCAAATCCCGGCTTCATTTGCAATTTTGATATGTCTAATTTACATCCCTCTTTCAAAAGAGGGGTGTAGTTTAGATGTACCCTTAATGCACTCCCTTTGGAGTACTCTCTCTCTAAAGAACTGTTATTGGGCATGACAAAAAAAACCAACCCTATTTTACAAGACATGTTGGTGTTAAGAAATGAATTTTTGTATCTCTCTCTCCAATAGCAAGGCGAAGTTATTGTTGCTACTTTGAGAGAGTAATTTCAGTGTTTAAAAGCCATGGGGTATATTTTCAGTATCATGTATAGAGAATTAGGCAGCCAGTTTCCTCTTAATGAGTGAAAGAATTCTGCTCAATTCCCAGCTCACCTTGCTGAAAATGCAAAATATTTACCCCCTTCTCATCTGCAAAATAGTTGGCAAAGTTAGTTTAAAATTTGTTCCTCCCCATGGTACCCTGCCTGCTGCTTTTCAGCTCTGCAGAGCACATTAGGTACATTCCTGATGAAGTTTGTCTATTAAAGCTATACTCATAATGTCATGCCAATACATTTTAATTACTGTTTCAGCAATATAATTAAGCTTTGAATTTATGCACTCTTACAACCAGAGCACTACACTAAGCTAAAGTAATGAACACTGATAGTAATGAACCTACTAATTGAAACAGTAGGTAGCTTAAGATGCCATTAACTAAACAATATAATCATCACTAGTACAATAGTAAAAAAAAATAATTGCAAGAGGCAATATAAAGATTAAAGATAAAACATTTCTGCATACACCATTAAAAAAAACAAACAACAAAATCAAGCTATTACACTCCAGCAAGTTTTTCACTGTGCTAAGTATGAAAACCACCTTTATACAATCAATGAAATTGTTCTTAACTAGATTTATTCACAAAGGGTGAAACTCACCCCTGTGAGGCCCTGGCCCATATGCACCAGCTAAACTACACATAAGCCATCAAAATACAAGGCCTTCTGCAGGGCATTCTCCCATGCTGAATTACAGTGTTGACATGTTATAAAGAGCAGAAAACAGTATTTATGCCTGCTCTTTTGCTGCGACTCTTGCACTGCAAATTGAGCCAGGGCTGGGCTCTTACATTTTTGTCTAAGCCACACATTTATTACTTAAAACAATGTATCACTAAATGAACAAAATGGCAACTCCTAGAAAATAGCAATAAAGTTCAGTCAGCAAAACTACTTCTGCCAGACTGGACAGATTTTATTTTATTATATGAATTTTTTATTATAAAAGTAGCAACAGTTGATATTTTTAATATTTACTAGTATATCAGTGACTCGTTCTCTCGAATTAAATATCAGATGTTAACAGTTGATATTTTTAATATTTACTAGTATATCGGTGACTCGTTCTCTCTAGAATTAAATATCAGATGTTGTTGTTGTGTGCCTTATTCTGTGCAATGTACTGCACAAAATTCAATACAGTCAATAGAGGAGGGGAAGGGCAATGATTGTATTCCAGGACTTGGCTAATCTAGGAAATGTCTGTTTATAGTTCCACTGTTGTTTCTACTGATTCATTTCCACCAGTGGGAGCAGTAGCATGGTCAAGTTTTTGGTGGTTGCTGACCTTTAATCACTACCTTATATAGGGTTTCTTTCAGCAAAGTTAGATGACACTGTGCCTATATCACTGTGGGACATCTGTTCTAGCACTTCCACCACTGATGTCATCTGTGGACATGAAATGAAGATGGCAACAGAGAGAAATTTTAGCAGAACATTATTGGTGTGGCCATAGCTATTATGGAGTAGAAAAAAACCCAGTAAAAATTAGTATCTTTTAATAAATAGTGATAAAGGCATAGCTATTTGTTTAATTATGGCACTTAATGAAAAAATAAATGACAATGATAATGCTACATAATACTTAGGGAGAACTAAGATATGAGTCATGCCACTGGGGAAAAAATTTACAGGTATGTCCATAAATATTATGCCTGCATACTTCTCTTAGTGAACGTGCAACAAGAAAGAATAAAGTGTATTTGTTATTGCATTGCTAGAATAGTAAAGATTTGTGTGTAAGAGTATGCTTCCAGTATCCCACCAAAAAGTTCTTGAAAATTGACCTGTTCAATGCATGGCGAAAAAAACAAATCTTTAGCAGCTGAAAAACAGTTTTAGAGGGGTCAATGGACTATTCTGGCTTTTTCTAGATGTGCAGTGGGAGTCCAGCCTGTGAAAGCAAGTTTAAATGTCGGATGTGTGTACTGAACACCTTCAGCATAACTATTTGCCAACTAATTTAGCACTGTTTCTAGGCACCAGTTCAGCAAAGCACCCGAGCAGATTTTTAAGTTGCATTGACGTGAATAGAACCATAACCTATTCTTAACGCTATTAAGCCATTTGCTGAATTGAGCATTTAGTCTCCTGTTTTCCTAAATAAGTAATGAATAAGAATAACTAAGCTCGATATTTCTAAGGATTTTTTAAAATTAGAAAATGAGAACCATCATTGTTCTCAGGGCAAGACACTGGTTTTACCTAAAGGAAGCAACATTAAGCAGTTGAGAGTGAAATACAAAGGATGATGAGTCAATAATATATTTCTCTCTTACTGGGGGTTGAGGGGTTTGTGTTCACTCGTCCGTGCATTGGGTATAGCCTACTGGATAGCTTTCTTGATTACTTGCTGTATCTGGTGTATTCTTTCGTATACTTAAAGCTTTGTCTGTTTTCTGAGTGTGACATGGTTTTCCTAGAGAACCTACAAGGTTGAGGGCAAGCTGGGGCTTGTTTTCTTTCTCCCTGCTCTATGGTGGAGAGTGCGTGGGATGATTTTAATCTTGGCGCACAACAGCAGAACAAAGCTAATTTGTCACTGGCGGGCAGATTTAATATCAGCCGTGAATGAGAAGATGATTTGTGTACAGTTAGAACTATTATTCATGCTACAGTGAGCCATTGCAAGAGCTTGTGGGGAATCATCACTAATTGTACACAGTCTCATGGCTGATACTATATCAGCCGTCAGTGATGGATGAACTCTTTCTGTCACCCGGGATTTCACTACACTAATGAGTGGTTCCATGGTCCCTTACCCGTACCCTAAGCAGTTTAAAACAAAACAACAATAAAATCCACAAATTGCCCTTCATCAGTGTAGCCTGCCTTGGGTACTTGTGCTGAAATCAGCAAACAAAGTTTCACGTATATGAGAGAGTGCCTTTGAAGAGCGCATCCATTGAAAAGAAAGCTGTTCGGCAGGCCATAAAAAATATACAACCACGTCAAACTGACCTCCGTGGGATTGCTCTTGTAAATAAGGGAGCTCATCAATGAAAAGAAATCCTAATTCGGGGTGTATATGAGGGAGAACTCATGTCTCTGTGTCTGTCTGCCCCTCAACTATGGGACTTGTACTCCTTCACTGGAGTGGCTGTGGACAGGTACTTCTCATCTGGTTCCCTAGCTGCTGTGGTGAGAGAGATCTGAGGCAGCCCTCTCTCCTGGGGGCAGCCTGTGTACTGAACACCTCATCCTCAACCCCATCCCAGCGCACAGATTTAAATGAGTAAAACCAAAACTTATTTCAGTTGAGGATCTGAGCAATGTTGGGTAAATCTCCTGATCTGTTATATAAGTTAGATCATGAAGAGTTGTATGATTTGAAACTTGTTTTCTTGTATCTATGCTGATGCTCTTATTCCTTCACGAGTATGAATTATGTCATTGTTTTATATTCAAAGCAATACATAATAGGATCATGGAAAAAGCTTTATGAGGTGTCAACAGGAAACAATAAGTGTTGGTAATAGAAAACTACTAACCCAGAAAAATAATTATGTATATTCCTAGGGAGGAGAAAAATGCTCAATAAATTCCAAATAGTGGAAAAAGTATAAATAAATATGACCTTTTTCCGAGTCTTAGTATAGATATCAAATGCCATGAGAAAAAATAATATGGTTCAAATATGGCATCCAAGATGTTAAAATATTTTATATATAAAATATTGAAATTACTTAGGCAAGGATTTCTTATCAAGCCTCACGTGCAATGTAGATGCCGGATCCCACAAATCTTTATTCCAATGACTTAACCCTTATTCATACTGGTAGTAGATTTTGAAGTTAGTGTGACTACTTATGTAGGAACTATTCCTGTAAGAAAGTTATTGGAATATCAGACTTCAGGGGTGTGTCTAGACTACACGGTTTTGTCGACAAAAGTCCACTTTTGTCGACAAAACTATACCTGCGTCTACACTGCCGCTGAGTTCTGTTGACATAACATTGACAGAACTCAGCAGTTTTGTTGATGGCTATAAACCTAATTCTATGAGGAATAACACCTTTTGTTGGCAGAGTTCTGTCAACAGAAGGCATTATTGCAGCTACACTGTCCTTTGAATCTACACTGTCATGTCGACAAAGCGGCTTGCTTTGTCAACAGAACTGGATGTAGTGTAGATGCTCTTTGTCGACAGAAGCTTTGTCGACAATATCTGTCGACAAAACTTCTGTCGACAAAAGCCTGTAGTCTAGATGTACTAGGATTGCTCAGAAAGTAGTATTGCTGAATTCTGTCAATCATACTTTCATATTTTTCCTTTTCAGCTTTTAAACACAATTTGTGGGTTTCTAAACTTGTATTTCATTAGTAGCTAGCTCTTTAGTGTATTAGAGTTCATTGGTAGCAAAGGTCCTGATCCAGGACAGCACTTAAGCATATATTTAATTTTCAGTATAGCACTGAAGTTAAACATGCTGTCCTGGATCATAGATATCTTTTTGAATACAGATCTCACTTGGGAATTGATAATACTTGGTGCTTTGCATCGCCTATGACAATCCACTTGACAGAGAGGTGTGGGAACATCTTGTAGAATAAAGCCCTTGGGCTTTCTGTTGTGCTAGCTTGACTTTTCAGAGTGAATTGATCTGAACTGACTCCCACCCTTCAGCAACAGGATTTTAAGATTCTCTTGGCTATTAACTGCATGTACTGTTAGTTGAAAAGTATGGTGCTTACAAAGGCATAACATATGTGGTGAAAAACAGTTGTACGTAATATTTTCATTTCTGTTAAGTAACTAGCACATTTTATAATTTTACTCCTCCGAATGCAGTAGTTTTGGTACTGGAAAAAAAATCTAGAATATATTTAAATTGCTATTAATGGAGTGAGTCTATGTTGTGTGACCAGTGTAACACATACATGAAAAGCAAGTAAAGTGGGTGTGTCTTTCACACAGTCTTTAAACTTACCTTGCAATTACAAAGAGTACACAACTGACTCCAAGGCAGGCTAGGAGGACGTACATCCAAATATCAGGAGAGAGAGGGTTTAGAAAAGAGAAAACACCAGGATTTGTGCCATTTGGTTTCCGGTACAAAATACTGATCCCAAGTGTCATGAAGGGTTTTGAAAAGTCAATTACTTTCTCCCTTACGTAGGTGATGGTGAGAGGAGCAACTGCCAGATCAGCTTTCTGGGAACACAGATTAGAAAACATTCTCATTCTCTTTGCCTTCAACAGGTATATTTTTTTCTTTCCTTCCACCTTTTCCCGTGGGTATTAAACAAGATAAAACAAACAGGTTTAGTTTTGCCTAGTTGCTGAACTACAAATGAGTGTAAAATAAAAATTTGTGGTTTCCTTACTTAAAGGTTATTGTGGACAGGAAATCTACTTCAGATGAGGTATAGTGATTTGAGTACGACTGAAACAGTTTACCTCAGGAAAGTGCAGCAAAAAAATTAATTATTAGGACATTACCAGAGGCAGAATGGACATGTCTGAAATACTGCTCCAAAAAATTAAAACTTTCCCTTGTGTTTGCAGATACTTTGATACAACAATATGGGTACCTTTCCAATGGATAGGACAGGGCGTGATTTAGGGAGCTTGCTTGGGACTCAGCACCACACATGAACTGCAGAGCAGTGAAGTGCAGGGCAGACAGGATCTCCTGCTATAGGGATTTAACTATTATTGCTGGAGGGGCCCAGGTGCAGGGGAAAGTGCTGTAGTCTCATGACTGTCAGATAAGCCATGGATCAGGTCTACAGCCTAGCAGAATGTACCTCTTCCCTTCTAGAATATCCCAGTTCTAACAGATAAGCCATGGATCAGGTCTACAGCATAGCAGAATGTACCTCTTTCCTTCTAGAATATCCCAGTTCTAACGGGGAAGGATTCCCCCTCCCCCCAAGTGCAAACCCTAAATATGTGTCTTTGTTCAAAGGCTTTTCTGCTAGTGATGAAATGACTAGTGATCTGCTAATGAAAACACTTCATTCGATTTGGCTTCTTATAAACTATCTCTGGTTAAAGCAGAATAAAGACAGAAAGATTCAATCTTACATGATCTATAAGTTCTTTGACCATCCCATTCCACTCTCCTTTGTCATTCTGGGCTCCATATTTACCATCAGAAACTAGTTTGACCTCGTAGATGAACCCTAAAATATTTGAGAGTTCCTTCAACAAATCCAGGCAATATCCTTCAAATCTGTCATTTCCATACAAGGGCTTATCAGACTTTTTGTACATAACATAGGGATCTTCCTACAGAATAAACACACCAAACATGTAGCAACAGAAATGAGGTACATTTCAGATCATCTCAGTTTATACAATATACAGAGTTCGATTTACTAGAATTGTACAGGTGCAAGTAATTTACCGTGTCCATTAAAAGTCATCTCAGGTATACTAGTAAATTGCCCAAATCAATTAGCTATGAATGTATTTGAGCCTAAGTTACATGGGATCTGAATGCCTTTACTCCCAGCTTTAGAGGAGTTGTAAGCACTCCAAAATCAGGCCAAATATGCCATGTTAAGGGATAAGTAAGGATACTGCAGTAGTCCAATAAATACTAGACCAAGAATCATACATAAAGTGAACCTAAATATCAACTTTCTAAATAAAACAAACCTTAAAAAGTGTGAAAAATATAGCCATTAACTGGATAATATATTCATTGAGAGATGAAAAAATAGCATAGGCAGAGTGGTTTTCTGCACATGGTATTTCTGTAATTTCTTGTAACAAGGTTCGAAATAGCTCGCATCCTGGGCAAGGCAGGCTTTTGTAGCTTTAACCTAAAGTGTAGGACTCCTGGCAGTGGAAAGTCAGTGCAGAGGGAGTTGCAATAAAAAGAATCTACAACTTCCCCTTCTCCAGAATTAATCAGCACTGGCCCGGAAGTCAAGGATTAGCATAGCAGATTACACAGTTCAGCACATCTTCCCTTCCCCACACTAACTTCCATTCAGCACTGGTGAGGATGTACTAGAATCCCTCTCTCCATTTTGTGCCATAAGCTCTTCTCCTTCAGCCACCTTAACCTTATTTATAGTGAGAACTCTGAAAATGTACACACCGGCCATGAAGCTTAATATTTCTGAGAGACATTTTCTTGGTTGAAAGAAATACAGATTGTTTCTTCAAAATACAGAGATAAACTGAACCTAATTTGAAAATGTGATTACTCTTGTATATAGATGAACAGTGGGCAGTTGGATTTTGTGTCTATATGTGAATAATATGCTGGGCTAGAAATATGATTTGTCAAACTGTACATTGGTACAGGGAACCACAAAAGATGAAGTGCAGAGTTTAGGCTAAAAAGGAGGTCATCATATAAATATGTAAAACAATGCAAGCAATGTATGGTCTATTCTACACTATGGTTAATATTATTGACACCGTGCAGCAGGACTTACCAAAATGGTAGTGACTATGAGTGTTCGGTTAGCCAGTGAATCAGTGATATTGGTAGATCTGTCTTTATTGCTGTCAGTCATATTAAGGCCACTGTTTGAGTTCCAAACCCCAATCTGTACCAAACAAAGTAGATAAATGGCTGCTAAACCTCTGGGATTGCATTCAATGAAACTATGTGTAATTTGCCATAAATGTGCATTATTGTTTGTAGTCTAAAAAGAGAACATTGATACCATACATCACAGTGAGAGACTAAAACACCAGCAGTATGAAATGTTTCAGGGGAAAAAACTGGTTGTAATTCTAAATAAGGGTACAACATCCCATTGTCCCATTTTAAATTCATTAGGAACACACTGTTTTTTCAAAAGCAGGTTGAAATGAATTAACCATAAGAGTATAAAATACGTTAATTTGCTAATTGCCACATGTTGCCAATTTACCACACGTTGCCAAAGTGGAACATGTTGACTTTGTCAAATGTCTATTTTCATGATGTGGTGTTGGTGTTTTGTTTTGTTTTTTGTAAATGGTAAAGTTGAAACATGTGGCAAGACCTTTCTTTTCCAATACAACAGATTAAAAGCTTGAATAAATGTGCTGAAATAGATTGACTGAATGTGCTGGCCTTTACTTCTACTCTGAACCCCCGCTGAAGGCATAGACGACGATTCCTGTCACTTCTTGACTACTGATATGAGAGAACTATCAAGGTGATGGCATTTCACCCTCAATCAATGTTTGTTGGTAAATGCAAAAGACTAAAGAACAATGGAGTTTTAGATTCCAATCCCCACAATAGGAAGTAACACTAGTACTTAGGGCCTGATCCAGAGCCCAGTGTGGCCAAGGGGAAAGCTTTCACTGATGTAAATAGATTTTGATCAGTATTTTTATGTTGGTGAAAAATGAATTTATTCAAACAAATATCAGCTTCACAGATATTCAAACTTTTAATAATCTCAAGGTCTAACTTCCAAATTCTTTTGTGACTAGTTAATGTCTGTCTTTTAAAAGTTGTATAGTTTTGGAAACTTGGCTATAATAAGTGATCCCACATGTTTGTATGTAGAATTTTTTCCTCCTGAGAAATATTCTGACTTTCAATAGGTATAATTAAAAATGTTACTGAGCTAGCTTTGCACAAGACCCCAGAATAGCAAAGTATGTAAGCACATGTCTAGCTAAACACGAGTAGTTCATTCACTTCAAAGGGCTATACATGTGCCCAAAGTATAGACATGTGCTCAAGTACTTTGCTGAGTAGATGCCTAAGTGCCCAGCTCTGCAATATTCTGAGTGCTCTTCAGAACTGCCAGACTCCTGAGCATGGGAGGGAGAGGAGGGGACTCTGCACTCATGGAAGGATTGAGGCCTCAGGCAGATGGGGCTATGTTACACCCCAGCCAGCCCTCAGAGCTGCCTGCATCATGCTGTGTGGTAGTGATTTAAAGGTTCCAGGGCTCCAGCTGCCGCTGCCAGTGTCACTGCTTCAGCAGAAGCAGCTGGGAGCCCGGGGCACCTTTGAATTGTTGGGCCCTGGGGTAACTACCCCTGCCCCTCACCCCCACTGTTGGCAGCCTGGCGCTCTTCAATCCTACTGAAGTCACTTAGCACCGAGTCACATAACTGATATGTTGAAGAATCAGGCCAAATGTGAAAACCACTGTTCTGTATGGGCCTGATCCACAAAGGGATGTAACTGTTCCAATCTCGACAGTCACAATGCCCAACTGTTAGGTGCCTAGAAAAATCACAGGAACAGCACTGCAATCCACAAAGCCTGAGTCAGGTGGCTACGCTTCTTATGCAATGAATGGGGGAGAGAGGTGCCTTATAGGGCCATCTGCAAACGCCATCATGGTCGGCAGCTCCCTGCTAGCCCATGGTGGGTATAGACAAGAGGTGCGGGAAGAGGTGTATCTGGAACCTTCTTCTGGAACCTAGTGGCTTAGAAGCCAAAATTGTTCCTTGTGAGATGGAATTAGGCACCTGTCTGTCTCCACACAAAGCAGCTGGGGCGGTGTGTGATGAAGGAGAGCTGCTCGCTTGTAGACTTTGTCCAATGGTTAGGGTACCCCCTGGGATGTAGAAGGGATTTAACAGGGATCTGCCACCTCTCTGATGACTTAGCCACTAGATTCTGGCTGGGGGGGCGGGGAGGAGTGTCTGTCTCCACTTTAACATCCCTTCCCCCCACACCAGATCAGGCCACACAAGCAAGGTAGGTATTCCTCTACTTCTCTTCCTCCAGTCTGTGGATTGCAGTGGAGCTTTGGTGAAGAATTGGTGCCTAGATGCCTATAGTGAGGCTGCAGTGTGCATGCCTAGAGGCCAGATACATAGGCACCTAGGGAATATTTACAGCAGAAATGTAGGGTGCTAAATAGGTCTAGGCACCTACAGGGTTAGGTGGAAACTGAGCAGTTCTGTGGGTAGTAATGGAGTCTAAAGCAAAGACTTAGGTGCCTAAATATAGGGTTTTTGGATCAGGGCCTATTGCCCTAAAATTGAGGGCATATGAGTAGTCATTTTGGTCAATTTCATGGGCATAGGATTTTTAAAATAATAAATGTAATAATTTTAGCTATTTAAATCAGAAATTTCAGTGTTGTAATTGTAGGGGTCTTGATCCAAAAAAGGAGCTGGGGGGGACAAGTAGCAGTATTGCTACACTTAATTCTGCACTGTAGCTGATGGTTGGCACTGCCTTCAGAGCTGGGCTCCTGACAAGCAGCTGCTGCTCTCCATTTGGCCAGCACAGAGGTAAAGGTGGCAATATTGCCAACCTCCTAAAATAATCTTGTGACCCTCCACCCTCCCCTCCCCCTGCCAAAATTCCTTTTCAGTCATATACCCCAATTTGAGAAACTCTGGTCTCCCATGTGAAATCTGAATTGTATAGGATAAAAGCACACAAAACACCAAATGTCATGAGGGAGACGAGAGTTCATGGTCCGTGATCATTTTTCATGGCCATGAATATGGTAGGGTCCTAGCAATGAGCATTTACAGGATTGGGCCCTGAAGTGACGTCTGAGTACAGCAATCAGAAAATGGAGCTTTCATTATCTATCTATTGTTAGACACCCAGGCTGAAATGACACACTCAGAAGATGTTTAGAGAGAATTCAGTATCTTTCCATGCTATTAGAAAACTTGATGAATGAAGTATGATAGGCCTTCGACCAAATTAATGCAAAAAAATGCACGAAGCAAGCAGATTCCCTGTATCAACATTCCAGGCTTTTGAAGGTTAGAAAAAGAATCTTGCCAAGCTAATTGTCCAACAACCAAAAATACAGAATCAAAATATCTGTTACTGAGAAGTAATACATTTTGGTAAAGCTCACCACAGGTTTTACTTTAATTGCATAGAAAGATTTTCATCTTAACCTGAACTAATGAAATTGCACCCTCCACTCGGGGGAGCAAAATCTATATGAAAATGGTATATGTTGTGTGGGTTAAACCGCCAATTTAACTGATCAAAACCCATTTAATGATCCATACACTGGTCTGTTAAAGCGGCCTACAATGCCATCACAAGTATAGATCATCCTTGTATAAGTCCAAGATGAATTCCAAAAAGCTTGGACTTACAGCAAAACAACTAAAAGGAATTGTTTTCCCGCAGCTGACTTCCATTTGTGCAAATTGTGGGTTTGGGGGCGGGGAGGGGGGTTTGTGTGCGACTTAAGAGCGGGGAATGGGAGGACTTATAACGCATCAGTTCCTACAAGTCTCAATGACTTTAGCATGGAATGGATGCATACCAGGGCGACTTATAGTGAGCCGCCGTGTATCACCTACCATCTTAGGATAAAAGAGTTAACCCATTTCCCTTGGATTTAAAGAGACAGTGCCAGCTGAAAGTCCATTCAGTATACATATATTTTAAATTGAAAATGTGTGAAAGGTAACATATTGATGGTTTGGAGGACTGACGTACTCCATCCTCGGAATAGTGGGCTTCATCACACTGATCTACCAATGCATTTCAACCGTACCCTGGAGTGCTCAGCTTTCGGTGCCAACAAGTCTGCCAAATCAGACACAAAGTGAAACTGCTGACTTGCCTCCACCAACTGTCAGATGACCAGTCACTGCTTACCCAAGTAGAATTCACTGAGGCAGGAGGTATCTTTGTCCAAAATCCAACACAATGGGGAAATGCTCCTGATTGGGGCTTTGGGGATTGCTATTCTATAAATATTCCAATAAAAATTATATAATTCAAACTCTCTGTCGCTGAAAACTCCTGGATCCCATTGTTAATTTCTTTAGCTAACCATTTCTCCTCCTATGACATTTTTAAATGGGATAACTTTGTTCATTATTCCTCTCCCCACACACACACACACACACCTCTCTTTCAAGCTTCTTTTGCTTCCAGAAGGAAATCAATTTGGCATTATTGATCTGAAAAGTATGTACACACGCACACACGGTATTCCTTATATTTAGTTAATATGGGACCATGATAAATGACTAGTTTCTTTTAATTTGTTTTGGGGCAGTGCACATTAATCAAAAGCTATTATACTCAGCGTTGCTGACTTCCTGACACACTGGTGTGCTTTAAATAGTTGGCAATGAGGAAGAACAAAACAGTCATATAGAACATGAAACAGCAAAGTCATAGTGTATACAGAGTACATCAGGATGGCCATTGTATGTTAGAGTTAAAGGAATGACACTGTAGTTCAGTCTTGATGTATTAACAATGAAAAAGGTCAGAAAGGCATAGGATGAATGAGGCCAAGGTATTACATCACTATGATGAATTTGGAGGGGTTTATTGCAGTTTAGTGACAAATTCAAGACATATAATATGCCCTTCTCAATGAGTCTGTGTTCTGAACCAATTGTAATTTGGTTTAAATTAATTCAATGCAACATGAAATGCCTAGAGTCAAAAGCCAGATTGGTTCAATAAGCTTCTGTATGTCAGGTAGGATGATCTATCCACTAGTAATGAGGAAAATGGAATCTGTTGTGCCTTAGCCTGATTCACTGAAGATTAAAAAGGCTATTAAGTATGTGTTTTATTAGATTAGAAAAACAGACCCATAGGACACTATAAGCTACTCTACGGTAGAGTGCCAAAAGAAAATATTTTTAAATGGGAAAAAAGTTTAACATTCTTAAAGATGTATGCAAAATATAATATTTATTAATTTACCCAGCATTTTGAATCTGTAAATCCCAAACAGTTTGTAAAGGTGGGTAAAAAATTATTTCCATTGTATATTAGTGGAAAACTAGAGACTCACAGAAGTCTAAGGGCCTTATTATCAGAGGTACTGAGCATCTGCCATGGCCATGACTTCAGTTGGAGCTATTGGTTCTCAGCATTTCTGAGAATCATGCCTTGTAAGTGACTTGCCTATGGATAATTGAATCCACAGCAGACCTGAGAATAAAATGTGGTTCTTCTGACTCCCAATTTGGTGCCTTTTCTGTTGGGCCAAGTATCCCCCATGGGTCTGTCTACACAGAAGCTTTATTTTGGAATAACTAACGTTATTCCAAAATAACGTAGTCTGTGTCTATACACAAGCAGTATTTTGACACGTCAAAATAATGTCAAGCCAGAGGACTTCTTACTCTGATTCCTGTAACCCTCATTTTTCAAGGAGTAAGGGAAGTCTGTCCTGCTGCGTAGACAGTGCCAAAAGCTGAAATAAGCTATTTCAACTTAAGTTATGAAATTGACATAGCTCAAGTTGCATAGCTTTTTTCGGCTTTAGCTCTGCTTTTTAGACATGCCCCATATGTTAAAAAGAAATATGAGATTCCTGGAATGAATTGGACAGTTTATAATGAAACCTGCTTCCGGTTTGCATGTGTTCTTGAATGTCTGAATTGTGTATTAATCATACGGACTATTTTATGCTAGGAGCTAATGTAGTGATTGAACCTTAAGTTGACACTAGAAAGGTCATTTGTTGCACACACTTTGTGGAGGTGTCAATAAGTCATACACTTAGCACAGTACCCACCATTAAAACTGTGACAGGCACCATTATTTGAAACCCTAATTTTGGTGACTCTTTAATGTGTAAGGTAGGAGATCAGCTGTGAAGGTGTCTGCTTTTCTTATAGCCCCTAGCCTTCATTCAGAGGAGGAAGAGGGGCAACCCTTAAGAATTAAAAAAAATATTATTAGGAAAAAATGTAATTCGGCTAAGGTTTCTTTACAATTTGAAAGTACTAGAGTGTGTATCTTGATTAAGAAGGGAATTCATTCTATCTCAACAAAGCACACCCTAAGGTGGAATATTGTCTTAAACTGCAATCTGAGATCCATTTGCAAAACCCAAAGGATGAGTTATAAGACCCAACCTGAAGGTTTCTTGCATCACTTCTCAGTGTACAAACCTTCTTCCACACTTTATATAAATGTTTAGAAACTTCGCCAGCAGCCTTGGTAAAGAGAAAAATAAACAGAGTGCTTTATTAAAGATGAAAAGGGAAACCAGTCTGGAGAGCTGGTTGCTAGTACAGGTCATTACATTTCAGCTTTTAGTTAACTTATAGATGATTATTCAGAATCAAAATGGAAATCCCCTGAGCCACATACTTTAAGTAGGAGGAGAAATAAGCTTGTTGTTACTTGGTGCTAAGCACTGACTCTGCAAGTCAAAAACTCTTTTTCTTAATTTATACCTCCCACACCCCACTCCTTTCCCTCCCATCATGAGCCCTTGTCTCTCTAGCTAGCGCACAGGGAACCCATTGAACACAGCTCCTTGGGTGCACAGGGTGCATGAGCCTCTAAGTGGGTATTTTGTTTCCTACCCTCTACTCTACACAGCAGAACTGTGCTGGTTCCAGTAAATTCAGAGATTTCTTCATCCTTCAGTTTTGCCTCTAGTAATTATATCTAGCTGACAATATAATGCTGGAGGTAACAGCAGTATCTTTTATTCCAGTTAGGCTCCAGTCTATAATCTTCAGGATTAGGCATCTTTT